GATAATATTACAGTTTCTACTTGAGTGAATGTGTTCACAGACACAAACGCCCGCCACTTTCCTTTTCTACTGCTATTGTTTTCTTTTGGCGATGATTGGAACTTACTTAAAATTATGATATTTCTAAATTTTTAATATTTACTTTCTCGAGAACGCTGCAACCGATTTCATTCGGACAAATTGCATTTTCTTCTATTTTCAACGGAGAATATGCCAGTGCCCGTTGCGGAACAAGTCGTGGGACACCCTGTATATATTAGTCGGATAGCTCGAAGTTGAACCAAATCTGAACTGAAGCCAAATACGTCAGGTACGCCGCATGAAATTGAATTACGCTTGTCGATGCGTTTCCAGCCTTGAACCACGTACAGGCCGGTACATACGAATAGACGAAGTTAGCAGTTTCCTCTATGAATCTGCAAAATTAACGCGACTCCCCTGGGAGTTTAATTAAGTCGCAAGAGTGTGTATACAGCAAAGGCGCGATTAGAATTCGTAGGTTCATTGCCGTCGCTAATTAATCGGCGGGTATCGCTAGACAAAGGTGGATGGGACTTCAAGAAGACGAGTGATGGAATTCCCTCGCTAAACTCTCGCGCCCCAGTAACCTAACGTACAAAGGGCTTCTTCGTTACCGGATAGAGCCAGTGGATGGGGCTTAAAGCGTCTAGCGCTGGCGATGAATCCAAGCCTAACCTAACCCAACTTAGACGAAAACACGTCGTATAGGAGCATAAGCAGCCAGTGGCTAACATATCCACGAGTATGATTGCAGGACTTTAAAAACCTTTGAAAAAGCTTAATGTCCCGGGGCGCTTAACGACAAGTAATCCCGTTACCAGTAACGAGGTTAAAGGTGCGTTCACATTGGCATCCTACGAGGATAGATCAGTTCACAGGTGTACCTTGGTCTGCTTTATATATTTTTGTTAGCTCAATTCGATTAGTACTTAGAAAAAAGAACCGAAAAAGTACCACAAGTACTTTGACTAACTTGGGTATTCGAAAGTCTACCCCCCTCAGCTCCTATACCCGCCGCCAGAACTTGGCAAACTTGCGCGCGATGGCCAAATATTCCTGCATGAAATCCAATATCGAGCAGAAGCCTTTCGTTCCTGACGATACTATTGCAATAGCGACTGATTTATATTCACGAAGCAGCCCCAGTCAGACCACCCTTAGTCTGACTGGAGACTAACCTTATGAGCATGATCTTTATTTTTCTTATACGCAGTGACCTCTCTCGTTCTTCATCGACACGAAGATTCTTCTTCCTGTTCGGTACCAGCGCTTCTAATGCTGTCAATAGTACCGAACGACAATGAGAACAACCCTATCTCCTTTTACTCACCCTACGTTCCAGCCAACCCTCTGCTACCCCATTGTTTTTCTTTTTCCATCCTTTCCGTAGCGCGGCTACGTACACTCTTCTACTTTTCTACGGATTCCAATGTTTTTGCTGTATCCCGATATCCCGTCTATATTCCTTCCCATTGGCGTAACTACGCCCAATTTCGCCCTCGCCCTCTAGGGAACCAAGGAAGCTCGACGGGCGAGTTCACCCTCGATACTTCGAATCCTCAGTCTTCTGCTACCTTATTGGGTTAGCCTGGACTCCGAGAAAAATAACACTTATAACTTGTAAGACGTTGACCGACCCTCAGGATCTCAGCAGTGTATTTTCCAGGCTGTCTAATACAGGCGACCCGTCAGGACATTCCCGAGGGATGTGGAATTAGCTGTCTGATACAAAAAATTCGGACTGAACCTCCCGGAAAGGTTTTCGTCTTGGCGCATCCCCTCCTGCTCCCGGGGTACTGGGACACGGGTCCTACTGTCAGTAGATAAGACGGACATTGCTGATAGAATTAATTTAACGTACGATATAGATAGGGAGTACAGTCGGTAAGAAAAATATAGGAGCGTTGGCTCACAGTGTGATAAAGTATTCTGAGGTATTCCCATAGGGGGTGGCTATCCCCGAAAAGTAGCTAGGGATACGTAGTGCACGTGAACAAATAAAAAGCCAAGCTGATAAAATACCGCCCGATGTTTGGCATTGTGTTATTGAACAGGGAATTCGCGGATTTCCCAATCCTGTGAATCCTGCGACTCAAAGGTAATAGTTGGAAAATGATGTACCTATGTGTATCCCGAGAATAAAGGGTCGTAAATACGAACGGATAGGCGGAACGACCCCTAGGGAGAACCACGGCCATAAGGAAGAGGAATCTCGGCGAAAAGTTTTGTTTTCCCCCCATTGACAGAAAAAAGTCAGTTAAGAATTCCTTATACGAGAATCGTACGTTCTGATGGATGAGACTCGATTTTATTCGTGTTACGTGAATTTTGTTTCATCGTTACGAAAAATTCAATACCTTCCGAAAACGGACGTAACGAAATTCTTAAAGTTCCAATCGAATCACGTGGACACCGTGAATAGTCTGACTGTAGTTAACGTTAATCTCGCAAGGAAACTTGTACCTGCTATAGCCTTACTTAAGGTAACCCGACACGACCTAACCTAACGCAGCGTATAAACTCCTGCCTTAACACAAGTAAATTCTCCAGCTGAAACCGTCGACCTTCTGAGAGACACTGTAGCATAATTAAATCTGGCCCACGTCAGATTAATTTTCCACAGACTTACCCACGGCTTCGTGCTTTTAGCCTCAGTCCGCAGGACTGCCAACCATCCGGTAGACTCAGGTCGCAGACCGTGTACGTAATGCAGTGGCGCTTTGCGAGCACCGTGTTACGTTCTTTTTGAATGAACCTGTATTACTCGCTTCCTGGTCCAGTACATCAAACCTCGTGCTTTTTTAACGGGATAAAAACTCGCTTTACATGCACGATGCGCTTGAGTCGTTCGACCAACAGTTTTTCTCGCGTTTACTATATTGTGTATGGTAAATATACGAGCAAATTTTTTACATGACGATGATTGCAAAATTTCATGATATATATAGTGATTATTTTATAGGCAACTACATACTACTAGTCTTGCCGAAGGATACGAAGTCGAGTAACATGGAAATTTTCTAGGGATAAAAAAAAAGTCTTTAATAATATCCAGTGATATTGTTCTGATAAAAATGAAAGATCTCGAATAACGATTATCGATACTTTAATGTGTTTTTTTCTAAATATCGATTAGTATCGAGGCATCGAATAACTTCGAAATGTATTTGGCTCTCTCACCGTGATTTCCCACTGGAATTCGGATGCACCAGATTTAAAGATCAGCATGGCCGCTATTTTGTATCTTCGCTATCCACTCTGTGCCAGAAATCTCACGCTGATTAAAATGCCAAAACCAGTAATGGTCGATGGAGCGTCTCGGGATATACCAACCTACATAGGAAAACTATCGGCTTCGTTTCATGAAAAGGCTTTTTCAAACGGACGCATTCCGCATACCTTCTAAACCTTTGCGAAATATATCGAAAGAATTTTACTTATCCGAATCTGATTCAGTGTTGTGAACGAGCCTTAAAGTTTTTCTCCTTCCTCAGGGAAGATTGCGTTAGGTCAGGACGGGTGTGTCGCGGCTTTAAAATTAAAACAACCTCCGCCCACAACGTATTTACGGCTGCGCGGATTATATGAGGATTTACTCAGGCAACTTAGGGAAGTCGCAAGCTGTAGAAATTCCAGTGCGAAAATAACGAATGATCCTGCTTGTTGTCAAGACTCGCGAAATACGTATTAAAGAGAATTTACTTTTTCGTTGTTGGTAATAATACAAACGTGCTTGTATTCTTCATTCATTTCAATATAACGGTATAAAACGATTTGACGGTCCTTTACTATTTTCTTCCCACTGTCCGCGTCCCGTTGGAAAACTCGCGATTCTCTCCGACGAACGAATTCGCGATTCTCAAACAAAAGCGTCGCTCTCATGGATATCACAGTTATAAATTGCTTCGATAACTGCTGGCTAAAAGAGCAACAATCGAGTCACGTCGTTTTATGTTTTTCTGCGTATTATTGCGTTCTTTAATTTATCACTTGATGAGAAAACGTTTAAATAAAAAAAAAAAGAAAAAAATAAATAAATTCATGCTTCCGACGAAAACACCATATAGGAATGTATAATTAAGTTGAAATTTAATAACAAAATTATAGCAATTAAAATGGACGATATAAAGGTATACTGTGAGTTTTGGTGTTTTAGTAATATAAAATAGAATTTATATCTTTTAAACAAGTTTCAATTCCTGAATCACGTTTCTCGTAAAAGCGCAGTATAACATTTTTCATATTCTTCAGCTAAATTTCCCGAGCAATATAAACGAGCGGAACGTTTCACTCTTTCGAAATTGCATTCTCAAGAAGGAAACAGCAGATCCGTAAGTAACTGCGCTTAAATTTGTTTTCCTTCCTCGCAAGAATTACGCACACAGTCAAAAGATCTTATGATCCTTTGAAGTCAAACTTTTAATTCTTCAATGTCTCCGACTCGTTGACTTTTTCAACTTTTTACCATTTCATCTCCTAGCTCGTTAATTTGCCCGATGATTACGCCTAACCCTTTCGCTACGGCAGTCCGTTCCGCGGGAGTAGCGCCACTGAACGGGGCACTGCGCTTACGTCTTTCAATGGCACTTTGGAATTGTCTTGTATGTATACTTTTTTAAGAGTTATGTAACTGTTTCGTCATATTATATAGAAAAATATAAAAATGAGTATATTGTGGGCATTCAGAAATTTACATATTAACAAAGCAGTAGATTCTGTGCTACCAACGAAGTCAGGGTAGGTGGTCTCGCGGCCGCCGGCTATATCCCGCGCTCGTAACGAAAGGGTTAATGAAGTCGCTGAAAAGAAAAGTTTCCTAATCCATGCGACATGGTGTACAAAGTTTTCGCGAGTTTTGAATCTCGCGGTAAAATTCAAATCGTACAGAAACCCAACGAAGCGTGAGAAAATTTAGCCATGGCTCACGTAGTATACATAGAAGGTATAGTGTCAGTATATATATACATATAATGTCTCACCTGGTGGCTTCTTGCAGCAACAGGTGTGGCGGTACCCAAAACTTGACCCTTAGGGCGAACCTTAAAGGCGCGACACCACCGCCAGTTTGTCTCTCGATGGGATTTCTGAGATTTAGCCAGAGTTCCTCGCCCTTGGCGTTCTGATATTTCAACCCGAAGTAATCGCACTCCTTGCTGATCCCAAGGCAGTCACATGCCTGAAAATAAATGACGTCATTAATAATGGAACTTGATTCCATAAAAAAAGGAGGAAAAAAAAAAGATTAAACCCTTATCGCAAATCGCGCACAACTGCAATATTAATTTTTGCGAATTTTATCCAGTACAATAATTCTCACGCAAGGACACGCGCGAAACAATCTCTCCCGTAATTAAACGTTTATCAGGCGCAACACCCAAAGCCACGTGCAGTCTGATTAATTCTCGTAAAACCGCGAGCGATTTCGCGCGCTGCGCAAAACCGCACTGGCAAATAACCGTGTAACAAATAGTATACCCATAATTTAGAAACTTCCTACGACCTTCGCAAGTCGTTTGCTGATCTGGGTTTTTACGTAGCTTTAAAAGGCGCGTATAAGGTAAGCGATAACGGCAGGCAGAGACCTTCAAAATTTATCAGTAAAAAAATTTGTCAGTAAAAAAAAAATACAAAAAACGCATATCGTAAATAATGCAATTCCTATCGAATCACACGTGGCCTTCGAATAATATCCCTGACATATATGCTACAAGATGAAAAAATATATTTCAATGTAAAACCATACCCTTGTTTACTTTTTTTTATATATTTAGTGTTCGATCTGTCAAAAAAAAAAAGATATTTTGATCTGGATCAAGTATATGTATTTTTATATCCGCAATGAAAAAAAAAGTTCTTGGCATACCAATCTTTATATATGTAACTCCAGTGTTTACTTATCCCATAAAGTCGCTTGTCGCGAACACGTGTTCTGGGTGACCTTAGAATAATTTAGCAAAGACACCGACGGAATGGCATGCTGGATTACGATGGTTGCCAACTGCGCGATCGAGCTAAGGATTTCTTCAAGCTTTGTAAATTACATTGGAATTAAATTGGCGACAAGGTAAGCGAGATTTTTAAAATACTGTAGGACCTTAAAAATTATATTTAGAATCTTAACCCTAAACATCATATTTGATCCTTTTTCCATATTTGAATTGACTACGCTAAATATGACTCTGAAGCAAGGGAACGTCTCAGGCTTGTCTCCAAGATCGTGTGAATTTATCTAATTATAATTATAAAATTTGCATGTTAAATCGACCGGGGCTTTAAGGTTAAATTTCGTGTCACGAATTCAATTTAGATCGTGACCAGTTTCTTTCCTTGTGAAATTAGAGGTTAGGTGTACCTCTTGTTCAGATTGGTCTTTCTACATTGTGAAATAGAACCGTATGGAAAAACAGGGCGTGGATATCGAGACAGAATAAAAACGTTTGAAATTTAAAAGGTGGATATATGTATGCGTTTCATGAATAAATTATTTTTTGTATCTTACACAAAGATCGGAGCATTTATTTCGGAATCTTTTAAGTGTTTCATATCGGTAGAAGGTGTCCGCTGCCAGAATCGTTCCTCTGAGATAAATTCGAGATGATGTTTCGGTCCTGAAGAAATCATACAGGATGGACAGAGTCCTCGAGATGATAGATACAGGCAACTATGGAATTTTATAAAGAAAAAAAACATACAGAGAACGTGCGAAAGTATCTTGGTCGGTTCTTTAGCCGAAATTTTAGTACCGAGGAGCTTTTTCTGGTTGTGACGCGAGGACGTATTTTTTGCAGGATACCGTCGTTTCTCCGGAAACGTTAATTCCATCGAGCATACGAATCTCTATTCCGTTTCAAAGCCGCTCGCCGGTCGCCGGCAAAAAGTTAGAGATTTGGAAACACGTGTACATGTGTACAGTACGCGTCAGCGATATGGCCTGTAGCGTGGATGCTGGATAATGAGTACTTGACAGCGGTTTGGAGAACGCTTTTGACGCTTACTGTACTTACAAATATAGGAGTAGAAAAAAAAATTGGAATTAAATTGATCAGTTACGTAATTATCAATTACTTTGAATAGATTACGAACGTGTAACTATTCTATAACATTTTTATATGAAACTTGTAAATTTTACTTAAAATTACCAATTTTCAAAAAAGACTACGTTTTTGAGGAAATTATTGATTATCCGCCATTTTTAATTCATTCGCAGATCTCGGATCCTTTTTGTCGTTCTCTATAGATCTTCAGCTACCTTTTCTTGCCCTTTATCCCTTTATCGGAACCCTGTCATTTTTACAAAGCAAAAACCCACGTCTCCCTCCCAGGCCTACGAGTAACGGATTTCCTCCCTATAGAAAGAGTGACTAGCGCGAAACTAAAAGCCGCAAACAAGGGAAGAATCTCCCCTTGTGCCACAGGAAGCGACGATTCCACGGACGATTTGACGGAAAAGTTCGGACTTTCAATCCGCGCCGTTAAATCGACAGAGGTGAGAAAATTCTTTGGGAACGTGAGAAACGATGCTTTTTCTTATGCGACAAGATATAAAGTACCTTCGTAATAATTCCCAGAAAATAATACCTATACCCGGAACCCAGACGCCATACGCGATACACGTATATTGCCAATAAATTCAAAATGTAAATTTCATTTCAACCAGAAGAAAGTTCTCGACTGTTCATAAAGGTATAATAGATTTTCACTTAAAACTTATGTACAGTGCTGCCATCTCTACCTTGCAGCTTTACTACAGTATAAACGTTACCCTGTTCCACGCACAGTGCCTATACGGTTCCCTAGCGTTCGGCTGGGACAGACTATACCTCTGCTGTTTGTTCACTGTAGAGTAGGCACCACCCCATTGCTATTTACCATATCCGAATGAAAGTTTCTCCCAACATTTCGTGACAGACTGAGACAGTCTGAAGTTGGCAGTTTTCACGAGGTTCTCGAAGATCGGTTACAGAGATGGTTCACTGAGTTCGGGTCAATCTGTCTCGAAGACCGTATAGTAAATAAACGGATACAGTTAGATACTAAAGTTAACGTTATTCGCTGCGCTGGACCGCGAGACTTTTGATCTCATGGATATCCATAGGATATATAGTAACCTATCTCGTAAGACTGAAAGATTTCGCGAAAGTACCACGTGAATATCTACCTACGTAAGGTAGCACATAAAATGCATACGTGTACAGTCAGTGTAGGAAGTACACGTTTAAAGTCGCAACGGGCCAGTAACGAGTCGAGCGTCATACCAAACAGAAGTTTCAACTAATTATGTCGATCGTGTGAAAATATCGAGTCGAGCCCGTGAAAGTTGAGCGGGATATTTAAACGGGTACGAAAACGAGGCAATTTGCATTCCAGTGAGTAAAATTAATATCGCGAGTGGCGCAAATGAAATAAACTCATTAATCCAGCATGGCGTCGAGGACAAATGAGCTTCGTGTTGGCCGGGTTGTCGGGTATACAAGCCGTGTTCGCCAAGTCCTCCAGAATTCTCTTTTCTCTCGTTCTACTAGGTATAAGATATACCCAAGAAGATCCTGAGGGTAAAAGAAGAGGTGTACGTACAGTCGCACCAGAAAATTTCACCGAAACAGCCAAATAGATATTTTATCCACGTGCTGCACGGTCTGTCTCCTCTTGATTAATGTACCTGCATATCGTTAGGTCGCAGACGACACATATCAGGAAGCACTCGAGAAGAGACTTGGCCGGCGTCCCCGTAGACGTTCCAGAAGGAACGTGACTCCGTTCCCACCCATAGATATACAACCTGAGTAAGTACGAGGCCGATCCTCCCAGGAGGAAAAATCTCCGAAGAAGAAATCGAATTTCCACTAAGGATTTTTCCGCAGCCTCTTCATCCGGAGGGCGCCATTGGTATTCCCGGTGCGATTGAGGATGCATCCAACCGGATGCTGTTCCTGAAAACCCCATGGCTTCGAGACGGTTATCCCGGTGTGTTACCGCGAGATTTTTCATCCCCGGTAACTTCCAATATATCGGAAATCGTTTTCCCATCGTTTATTCACGCATGGCGACCACGAGCGGCCATTAAAATCCTCAACGTACCAAATATATTCCCAATCGTCCCTCTCTCTCTCTCTCTCGGTCCGCCCTCTCGCGCTGGAACTATGCATTCGGTCGAAAACGTAAACTCCAAGAGACTTCCATACTTCGGCTGGATGCCGCTTGTGTCACCGACGTCTCGCCCTGGCGCCAGAAACGTAAACAGCGTCCAGGACGGAAATAGACGTTCGAGTCTCCGGCCGCCGTGCATGCGCGATTCGACCTGAACAAAGCGCAAGTATGCACTACGGTCACGTCGAGACGTGTCGTTGCAATGTGGATCCGCCGTTGTAGCGTAGAAGCCGACGGGCACCCTGCTACGCGTGGATTCTATTTATAGTCTTTGGAGAGTTAAGGCGAAGAGCGATATATAGATGTCGAAATACCCACGTGCAGGATATTAATTCGCTCTGTACTATACTATACTGTGCTACGTATGTATATGGCATATTTAAGTATACAGCAGAAGCATTGTCATTATTCAACATAGTCTCCCTCGTATTCATACCTACCCCTTAACCAACGGCCATAGACTACATAAGCCAGATGAGATACCATTTTCAATGTTGATACGTGTGCCACGTTTGCGTATCTAGGTCAGACGAATGATCCTCGGGCTGGCAGGGTGTACGGTCTTTTCAGATACAACAGCTGCACTTTGTTTGCTCAGCGGTCGACCAATCACGGCCGTAGACCCTGCTCGTAAATCATTAGCGCCGCAGCGGCCCAGACGTGAACCTCGTGCGCGGGGATGGGCCTTTCAAATTTTACGAACGACTTCGAGATTATTTATCGACTTGCCTTGTTAAATTGTTGCTATTAATAGGATTGGCGAGGGCGTCGTGGATTTTTGTGATTACGGAGGTACGGAAAGTGACGTAAGTGATTAAGTATACACCGAGAGCCCTAAATTGCCATTATCTTCAGAGAGATGGTCGGAGCCATTAGATGATTCGGTAAGAAAGCAACTCGTGGGCGTGAGAAGAACGCCAGGAGTCAGTCATTCCTGGGAGTAATGTAATTTTGGCAGGGTGGCAGAGAAGACGCTAATGCGATTTTCAGTCTGCTGGGCCGGAAGCAGGATTGGCCTTCCCTGTGGGCCCACCAAGTTTACTATTCGGATTTGAAACCGTGCTTGCTCAAACGTTACTTGGCTCTGTGAGAAGAGGAAGGCTTACTTCGGATTCCAAGGACGATGATATTCACGAATACCGATCAAGCTATTCAACCTACGGACGCGGAACACAAATCCTGCGAAAGGGAAGCCTCCGAGGGGAAGGACTTGGAGAGACGTAGGAGAGGTTAGGTTGGGTGAAAAAAATGAGAAAGATTTCTTCTATGATGTTCTATACGTATATATAGGCATTTACGTTCCTTTTCAGACTGACATTATGGTCACGCGCGATACCATCTTTAGTCAGGACTCCTTAAGTTAGGATGTTGACTACCCCGAGACTGGGGAAACGCAAGTATGGCTGGGCTGCTGAAAGTGCACTGACCTCGCGGAAGGTCAACTTTGTTTACAGGCATGGATGCTCCATGGGCGTATTCTTGGAAGTAAATTTTTATCTCCTTTACTATTTCTCTCTCTCTCTCTCTCTCTCTCTCCCCCCCTCCTCTTACTCTGTCGCAACCAGGGCCGACTACTTTGGCGCCAGTGCCCCCAATCGCTCTATGGACTCTATAATCTCTATGTATACAAGATTACCCCCAATTCTTGTGTACTCTTCTTCAATATCCCTGAGAAAATTCCTTTCTTTTTACACAAGGTATATCTCCCTCCCACCTCTGCCGATCAGACTGGATAGTAAATGGTTGCCAGTGAAATGCGCATAAATCAAGCATAAATCAAAGTATACACGAAGCATAAAACAAGCATAAATTCAGAGAAGGGTCTTTCAAAGCGATTCAAAAAATAGCACCGAGGCGTATAATGGTGTATCAAAATATGATATCCTTATACGGAAAATAATATTGGTTTCATTATTTACTCCGCGAGGTGCGTTATCGGGATACCCTCGCCTGAGATACCCTCGCCAGGATGAAGCTTTCCCCAACCTGTCTCCCATAATGAGATTCAAGCACCACCACTTCGTCGAAGATCGAATCACAATAGTTACGACAATGAAACGTAGCTCCAGTATACGTATCCTTAATCATATAAAACGTAACCAGATATACAGATACAATTAGTACCAGGATACAAGTTAAATGTTCACGTACTACTAGAAATCTCGTTCGCGCACTCGAAGGTGTCCAGGGGAGTCGAAAAGATTAGAAAAGTTTCTCTTCGAGGGATCCTCCAAGATCCTCTATATAGGTATACCCACGCTACCCAAGATCTACAAAAGCTTCTTGAAGTCCCGGAGAGTCCCTAAGGATTTCTATCCGCGAGTGGCTACGCCGTACTTAACGATCCTCACGGATCTCAAGCAGCAGATACTGCACCCCAGGTTACATCCTACCAGTCCAGGTTCTCTGGGTGTTCCACGCGTCTTCCGACTGAGGTTTCAAACGTGCCCACTTCCGGCGGTACGTCGTAGGACACTTCAGCACGTCGCAACTTACCCACCAGCTCTGGGACGTCTTCCCAAGGACGAGGTGGAGGGTCGTTAGACCCGGAGACAAGAAGATAAAAACCCAGAACACCTCTCGCCATACACTCTACCTCCTTTTCGCTTCTGTATACGTTCCCCGATATATACAGACACCTTCCTCACGGCTACCACCCTGGTAGCCGTATTCATCCTTTACAAAGTCCAACCCCGTGAGTCCACTTTCCGATCCTTCCTTCCTGATCTCCACCAGCACAGATACAAAATATTTTCCAACATCAGTCACCGTCCTTGTACGCAAATCCTGATCATCCCTACCAGTCCGCAGCATCCCTTGGCAGTATTATCTATCATCCAGAGACAGCCAGTCGACAGCCAGTGATCTACTTCATACCCAAAAGACAATAACGTGGAAAACTTTTTGACTACCAGTATCACTCGCAGGATCTAGTATCGCGCAAGGGTAGCTACCCTGGATTTACCTAGTTGCCAAGAAGCCAGCAAACGTTCAGTACTTTTTCCAGCATCTATACTTTTAACAAGGTTTCCACTGCTACGGCCATCCTCGGTGAACGTCAAGCTGAAGAGTCTACCCTTAGACTCAGGTGCACTCGGGGATGAGATGTGCCGCGGGAACGGCTGGCAAAAGGCTTTTATCGGTTTATCGGTAATAAGTCGTAAAAAATTATGGGGAAACTTAGCCGACGATAAATTTCACTTCGAAATGTTCTCCGCACATACGTATCGTATTTGCGATAAGACGACGTTCGGGTCTTCGTATACACGCGCATATCCACCCAGGCCCAACCTAACCCCCGTGAAGGGGTATATACCAGGAGACGGTTACTATTGGGGAAAGGGGGTTACCCCCTATGGATGCCAAGATGGAAAGAGGCGGCCTTACAACGGGAGCCAGTTTATATATAAAAGGCGCAGGTACTCTGCCGGAAATATGATAACGCTCGTCGACTCAAATTCAATAAGTATTGAATTCGTATTTCGTGTATACTTTTATGTACCCTATATGCGATATATACCCGTATATACCATGCATTGTATTATACGTAAGTCGTGTGCAAGAGATCCCCAGACTGTATGTATACTCTTTATTTCATACGGCCCTTGAAGCACCGAGTGGGTTACATACCCTATATCGGTATCTCCAAGTTATTCAGAGCTTTATAGCGCGGGGACATATGAATCATATTTTATGAAAATTTATATATCACTTGGAGAAAAACAAAAGTGTAATGGAATTTTGAGAATGTACTCGATGTTTGCCGACACCATTAAAACTGACGCTTTTATAAACGCATCTCGGACTATGTAAAGTATACATGACTCAATGGACTTTTACCGTTCGTTGATGAATTATCCAATATGGCCGCTTCGGTAAATAACTTTATACAGCTTGATGCTCGCTTTACTGAATTTTCTATTGGCCAGTGTGGTTTTTGCGGTGCTTTAAACGGTTTAGCAAAGGGATCGAGACTCTCTTTAATTCAGTATTTGCGGCTTGGTTAATGCTGGATATTCAATTGGTACGTCGTGTATGTATATTTAGGTTGAGCCAGGATGAGAAAGGAAATTACGAACGCTTGGATACGTCGTATCCAGGGGATGAGAGCGTAAGGTGCCGAGCGACTGGTTTTTAGCGTGAATCCGAGCGAGGATAAGCTAATAAATTAGCACAGGAAAATGCCGTAAACGTCGCCAGATAGAAACGAGATGCAAAACACAAATTGTATATATATACATACATATACGTGTGAAAAGAGAAGTGACGTAGTAGCTATACACGGCAGAAGCCAGGGACGTGCCGCCACTTTTAATTTAACTCTACCATTTGGCGTGTTGCCGGTTGCCAAAATATTTGGCCAAAATGAAGAATAAATCTTTGCCGTCTTTCTCTTTCTCTCTCTCTCACACACACTTTGTTTTGGTACAATACGTCCTACTTGTTCCGTAACGGATCCATAAACTATTTACGGCAATTCTGAGCATACGTGACTTTATATGTATATGCAGTGTTTACCCATAATACCGGTATACCTTTTCAAAATATTTCTCGTATCACCAAAAAGAAATTCGACTGTTGACTCTGGCAACTGTCTCTTAAGTTTTTAGCTTTTTTATTCAACTCGATTGAAATTCTTTTTTTTTGCCTGCTCTCTCTGGAGGTTACGTTCGTTTCCCCTTAATCCTTTGTTCGCGTCAGCTGTCTGACTCTTCGGCCATTTCCGCTCTTCGGTGTCTCATTAAGGTCGCGTTAATTAACGAATCGTGCATACCGACGGAGCGGATTGACGATTCCGCTATTACCGTCCTGAAAATTTCAGGATTCGTTCCTGGATTAAAATTTAGGTCGACTTTCCGGCTGGTGCCGACTGGATGGTCTTCTTTTTCTTACGCCATCAGACGTTTTTTTTACTCCTTTTCAACCTCTCGTGAATTTTCATTTGACGATCAAGAGCCGCTGTGATATCGATCGTGAGAATTCGCGTGGGGATTTATGTGATTTTGGAATCGTTTTGAAAAGCCATGAATGTCGACTTGACCGTCGTAAGTATCCCGGATTGAAGTGGTCGAACTGGAAAATTCCCAGTCTCCTTACGTCTCTATTTTAACTAAAGGGGTCAAGCTGACCCAACACTGACCTTAGTCATAATTCACATATGGAATCCGAGGCTTTTCAATCTGTATATCCCATTCACAATTCATCTTTGAAAACGTCTCTTAAGTGCTCTGAATTCGGATTTGTGAAATCGCTTAACTCCATTTAAACCGAATAACTAGAGTGCACGATATATATAGGAAGAAAAAACAAAAAGGTAACCCATAAAAAAATGCATATTGCGCATTATCATTATTAAGTGAAAAAAAAGGCCATTCAGATCAAATAAATTTTCAAACCAAAAACAAAGCCCTATGGGATTATACGAATTCCCGAAGATCTCTAAAAGAACCACATCCCAGTAAAAGTTCCAAATAACACCGATTCCTAAAAAAAAATGTACGAAAAAAAATTTTGTCATCCACAAACTTTTTTTTTTCAAATCCCAAATAAACCCTCTTGCGCCACAAAAATATCCAACGGAGAATCGATTTGCGAGCAACAGACTCCGTGAATTTCCATATTCAAACCTAACCTCACCATCGTCTCTTCACAGCATCCACAGCAGATAAAGATACGCCTCTTATAAAGAATTTCTTAGGTAAGCGTCATCAGGTGAATACCAACCTCAGCAAAAACCGGTACCATCCCCGTATACCGTAATGCAAAAGAATATAAAAGAGAAAAAAGCTTTTGTAAAAATTGTCAAGTCAGGATAGAAGCAGCTATCCTCATCGCATTCATTTTCCCTCCTGTACGTCATCTGCATCCTTCGGATCCATCCACTCGCCAGTATACAGTAGACACCTCCCACTTCACGATGTCCTCATCCACTTCCCTTCTCTGCTTTCTTGCATAGATCCTGAGCTACACTCGAGTCTCCAGGAAGCTTCTTCTTATGGTTCCTTTGCCATCCGGGACAAATGTATCTGCGAGCCGCCGACGAAACTCCCTGCCAAGCGACGTCGGTTATCTGGCAACATTTTCACATTTCCCGTGCTTTACGATCCATAAAAATGTAGGTTAGGTCAGCCGTATCAGGACGCCTCGTCATCTCACGGCACTTAAATCTTTCATTTCTTTTTTTTCTCCCTTCCATCGCCTCGTCTCGAGCCTCTGATTGTTCGGAATACCTAGAGGGCTGAACGGGTACCAGAAGTTCGACACGAGATGGCAGCACACGAGTGTCGTTCTGTTCCCTGTAATACGTTGCACGTTAAAATAAATTCTACTCAGAGCTTCTTACCAGCAGTGGCCATAGAGATTGTAATCCCTGGACATAATACTTGTACGTTGGACTTTAAAATCAATTTTAAAATTGCAGACTCGCCAAGTTTCTTCAATGCGGAGTTATTATCAAGTAGTGCTATGAAGGTAACGAGCTATCCCTACCTGAGATTCCTATCAGGATTACTATCCGGTTGTAACTCTTTGTACTCTAGACAGGTTATCGATTTCTGTTTAAAGTCTACGCTTAAACTCGGTGACAATATAATTCTTGAAATTCTTCGAGTTCCCGGTAGATTGTAAATCTCGACATCCGGTGCTGAGGTACGGGATTTAATGGAAGATTCTTTAATTTACCATAACTGCCAAAAGACGAGCCGAATCACGAAGCTGCTGCTTGGTTAACTCCGACAACGTCTGGAGCGACGCCAGAAGAATAAACAAATGAAGCTTCTCCATTCATCGGCGTTAGCCATCGACTTCCGTTCGAGAGAGCTCAGAATGCTCCTCGATATTATTCCCTTATATTCCAGGAGTAATAGAATTCCGGTATTAAGGGTCCGTGAATTCCTGAGCTAATACAGCATGGATGCTTCGGAGTCGAAAGCCAATAAGATGTAAATCGCAGACGATGGACTTATATACTTCGGTGAGGACGATGTCTTCTTTTTGTCTTTTCCCCATCCGTCTTCCTCTTCGTCCCGTAGTAACGGTTTCAACAAGTCGAATAGATATTTCCGTTAAAGAATTCAGCATCGTTATCGGCTTCCGTCCTGTTTTCATACTCGAGCCAGCGCCTCTGGCGGGACAAAGCTGAACTATTACGAACGCCGAGCGACCGTTGGCTTTTTCCATTAGTAAAATCCTATCTCTTTTCTTTTAATCCCTGATTCTTGGCCTGCCTTGTTTACTCGTGGATATCTGCCATGTTTATCAGCCGACCGTGATCCCTGAAGCTCCTCTAATGCCCGGCAGTTGCTGTAGGCAGTAAGAGCATTAGGTGACTCGACATTTGCATAAGCTGCAACGTGTGTCGCCGTATTGAAACATGTCGCACGATAAACCACCCTGCAGTTTAACCTAGTCACCCGTAAATGTTCAGCAGCAAATCGGAGCGAATTCGCTGTAATCTTTGAAGACATCAAACAAAATATAGAGGTTACGCGCGGAGGAGAAAATTCCTTTGCCACGAGTTGTAGCTGCAGCATGGAGACGAAGATATCTGACAAAGTCGTGTTCGATAGAATTTCTAATATCGATACTAATCGACTGTCTGAAACCACATGTTACCTCATGGTCGTAACGGGAGTTTTGCGTAGACTGACTCAGGGGGGTTGCGAAACCAATTCTCTGTAAGGGGATGTTGGGCTGTCTTGTTTACACCCCCCTCCACGACCCCCCTCTTATTTATTAACCCTGTTGAAGCGCATAAAAGGAGGTTACGGCCCACTTGGGCATCGCAATGGACATTCCGGTGCGACGTAGCTACACATTAGGCCTACCCGTTGCCGAGGGGCCTGTGCTGGGGGATAAGTGCAAAAAAAAAACAAAAAAGGAAATACCTGTTAGTACAAATGCCTAAAGAATTATTAGAGACTCGTTCTGATTTTAGAATAAACCACCCCTTGTTTTTATGAACCCGTCACGTCGGTCATCAAACTGTGTAGTGTGACAAACCCCAAATGTCTAAAGGGGACATCCTCGATTCTCGGATTAAACCTAAATTTAAAACAAAATTGGTTATGTTAAATATTGTACAAATACATAGCATCTCTTCTCAGTAAGAATTACTAGTTTTATTTCTGCCGGACGTGAGCAGAGCACGATTGCCAATGTTGAAAATTCAGTCGGATATTGAATGAAATACGGACTCAGACATGTGGTCGATATATAAAATGTTTATTGTTATATATATATATATATATATATTATACATTCTATCACGTCTAAGATCAAGTTAGTAGATTTATACCGATTTTTGTATGACACTGTTGCTATGACGTTTTACGTAACTAAAAGTATATATCGCCATGTTCCTTTGACTGCACATTGTATAGATCTACTGTACATATGTAATTTATATACGATATATGTATATATACCTAACCTTGTTCAGTATATAATACCGAGAGTTCGCCGTACCGAGATTCAAAGGCAAAAGAGTGCTGCGGCGCGCAGCAACGTGCCTCGTACCAGAAAAGCACGCTTCAACAAATACCTGCTGCTACACTGGAAAACTTTAATGCAAATAGAGATTCAATATGCTTTTCGAAAAAGTAAAAGAAAAGTAAAAAAAAATAAGTTAGAAAAAACAAAGAGAGATACGGTAGAATTCAACGGAAACACAAGAATAATAAAGGGTGACTGTTAAAAGAGAATACAAAATAATTTGAGATTTTAGGCTTTCGCGGCCAATATTGTCATTAGTGCTCATGGTTTCCGGATGGAAACCGCGTCTGTGTTCAGCTTTGTGCCCACGTTTCGCAAACGATTAAGTCTGCTTCTTCAGAGCTAGGAGGCTCCGATACTGAAGCTCCCTGTTGTCAGGAAGTCTTAATATACCTGCGATTGCTCATGATCAGCTGATCAATTAAAAACAACTTATGATTGGCTGAAGCACTGATCCGCACGAGCAATCATAGGTATATTAAGACTTCCTGAGAACAGGGAGCTTCAGTATCGGAGCCTCCTAGCCCTGAAGATGCAGGCTGAAACTTTTGCGAAACGTCGGCACGAAGCTGAACACAGACGCGGCTTCCATCCGGAAACCATGAGTACTAATACAAAATAATATAAATCTCCATAGTGGATGCGTCGCTTGTGTTATGCGGGAGTTACGTAAATTGAGGACACCTTGTATAAAACGTATCGATATCGCCCACACAGAGCACAAATCCGGATGATTGTTGTTGATCTGTCGTTGTTATCGAAAAACGATTATCTGACCGTACGATCCGACGTATACAAATGTTCTAAATAGATATACAAAGTAAACAATAAACACAAAGCGCGACTTCGAACCGTTAGAGGCGCGTATCCATGCACAGGTATACGTATTAATGAATTGAAGAAAATCGCAGCAACGGTCTATTAAACAATGGAGACTTTAAAAAGAAGAAAACAGAAAAATTTAAGCTGTCTGTAACTTTGGTGTAAAATAGAAAAAAAAAAAGTGAAGCTAACTTCAGAAGGTACGAAAGCTAGGTCAAGCATTAACGTTGCTGAAAGGGAACGTTTAGCAGCCAATTGTTCCTGGATTGCTGGTTAGCCGCTTCAGAGTGGTTCGATAAATAGCATTGAATAGATTTTACGACTAGGTAGGGTTATAGCGCACTTCATGATCTCCCATCGGGAGTCGAGGGTGTCGCGAACATTAGGGAAGGTCGGGATGGACGAGGTTAGAGTGTAGAAACTGTGGGAATTCGAGGGTATACTCATTCCTGTATTCCCAAAGGACGGTCCCGAGCTTAACGATATGAGACAATTGCGCTGTGAAGAAAATAGGAAACATTTTGTTTCTTTGTCTCTCTTCATATATTCCCCGCTCCTTCATTAACGAGACAGACAGGCGGCCATTACTGTTTTTATAACTACGTGAATCATATTCCTTTGTCTCGCTAACTGGATTCTTTCAGCTGCAGACTCGGCGATGTCCGTGCCTTTCATTTTCTTGCTGAATATTCTAGGTTTTTTTTTCTTCCGGTTAGCGAGAATGACATCTTTCGATTTTTACGAGACGCTATTAATTTTCTATTCTATTCGTATTGACGAATCCTTCGCGGTGCCAACGTATTTCTTTTGCTACGATAATAGTCAGTTCCACTGTACCTACCTTCGTGCAGTCACTCGAAGACTGGGACATTACATTCAGCCGCCATAAATATCGTCGTCACTGTCCTTTCCTCCCTCATTTTCCTTTTCATCCCGTTAAACGATCCATTTCCTGCTGCGGTATAGCTCAGGGATAACTGAGCCACCGTGTCTTACTTGCCGAGAATCCCGAGACACTAGCGCCACGGTATAAGCTGTGCACAACCGAGTAAAAAGGATCCCGGCGATGCAGAGGACGCAGTGGTACAGATAACGTCGGATAAATCGTACTGCCGGCCAGGATTAAAAGAGAGCAATGGCCCTGTTTAAGTTTCGAGCTCAGAAATTCCTCGACGCGTTCGCTACACCACACTCTGTCTCTCTCGCTCTCACGCTCTTTCGTCTTTTCTCTCTCGTAGTATATGACCTAACCTTAAAACGGATTCAAACTACAGCAAAGTGTCCTAACCTCTTTCGCCGAGAGTATAAGAACGCACTGACAGCTCCGTGGGATTTTAAGCTTTATGTCGGTTACTACCCATAAGTCTACGGCGCAGCGACAACTGGTGAGTGTTCTCGGTACTACTCGTAGACAAAACATTCTCATAAAAAACTCTACCCGCATTTATTTTCGAACATCGCAGGTATACGTTTTTTCAGTTGGCAATCTTTCGTGATATTTGTATATCGCATCACTGCAAGCTGCAAATATCGAAATAATACTACAAGTAAGTAGAATATCATGAAAATGTTAGTGTACTGCATTCAGTCGGTTTTCCGTGCAATCGAATACGTGCATATTGACTGCCCCTTGTCACGCATGACCGGCGAGAAAGCACATGGTTTATCAACAAGATTCACCGCGAACCATCATCCCTCGATACGACCCTCCTGATCCTCCAGGCTGGTTTAAAGTCAGTCGACCGTGTAATCGGTGATATGCCTGCTAGTTTGGCTCCACTGGTAAAGGGTCGGTTGACTTTTCTAATTTTCAAACTAAACTAGGTTAGCCGTGCAGGTATATGACGCAACGTGGAAAGGGGATACGAGCAAATTGAAGTGAACAAAGAAAAAAAAAAATGGCGTTACAGGCAACAAAGGAGGATGGATCACTGAATGACAACTTGGTAATGGAAATCGATATACTTTCTATATAAATTCGTTCAATGGAAATGTCACGAGAAGGATGGATGAATTTTCATGTTATGACAAAAATAAATAAATGTATTAAAATTTTGAAATATTTTTTTTCTAATCTAGGTTATGGTTATCAAAGAAGAGTTTTTCAATATTGATCAAAATCGTAACAGTGAATATTAATACCAGCTGGACCAGTGGCTGCTTTAATGGTGAATTTCGAAAATCACTGAATTTATGCATCACGTTAATCAAAGATCCCACAAGACCATGTAATTAGAGGAAACTGCTGGAATACGTAAATAGGTTAACTTTATAGTGCCCGTGTGTACCTAGAGACATAGGAACTACGTGATCCAATATGAATACCAGAATTCACAATGTCTCTCTTCATACAAATGTCAAATATTATCCAGTCTTAGGATAAGAAAATGAAACAAAACGTTCTACACGAAAACAAAAAGGGTATCGGCAATCCAATTCGTTAAAGTACAATAATAATACTTGAAAATACCAATAGCGAATTCATATATTCCATCAGCTACCCGACGGTCCTCGATAATTCAAATGGTCAATTATTGAAATAGCAGGCTCGCCCATTCACCGTTTCCTGCTTTTACTGTATCGAAGAGTGACGCATGCGCAGTGAAGCAGTCCACAACGAAAATCAAAGAGCTGCGAAACAAGTGGGCAATCGGAAAAAGCGATAATTGAAATAGCATCGAGCGCACAGTATGGAATTTTAATATCGCCAGTAAATATTGGAGTTCCTCGGCTTCCCTATTCTTTCATGTATATCAGCTGAACGCTATATATATATATATATATGTATTTATATAAACGTACAGAAGTATCTGCCCGGTATAAGGTTCGTAATGCGAGAAATAGAATTCCTATATCCACCTATGAGAAATTGCAGCGTTCCAAGAAAAGTGATGTGTCACAAACTACACCGAAGGAAGCGAGTAATTGATGGATCGCATATTTTTTATATCTTTTTTTTTTCGCAATTGCAAGGAATATTTTCTCATTCCATTAGAAATTTGCCTTAGTCACCAGTCAAGACTATCTACGTGCTTGTAATGCTAAATCACTCTTACATAACCGTCCATGATCTAAGCACAAGGTTAACACGGTGGATGAGTGATGATATTTAAGTGCCGGATGTCAAGTTCATCAAAAGTCCACGCCCATGACTGTAAATAGTCAAAACTTTGTCAACGTCCATTAACGAATCATTGTAACGTATGAGGACGCCAGTTCATGTGAGTCTTGCTTGTGTGTATTTATGTGCGTGGATACGACCCACTCCGCATATACCTATTAGAAGGCGTTCGATCCCCACCTAATAAAATCGAAATAATACCGGTAAAGCGAATTGTCGTCCCTTTCATCAACTAATCAGCGAGCGAGTGAGAAGTATCCCCGAACAAGATAATAAGTACGAAATCCTCTTCGTTATAACAATGCGCATAATTAGGTCTTATTTTATCATAGTTGTATTTTTATGTATTTTCTCTACAGATAATACGCTCTGGGTGATAGGGCCCTAAATATATATCATCATCTACATTGTAAAAATTCAGCTAAAAATTTGAGGAACGGCGATCGGACACGGCGACAATTCGGCTCGACGATACACCGTAGGACCAAGCCATAAACTACTATTCATCTCCATCGATATCAGCGGCTAAATAACTAATAGGTACGTATATAAGTATTGAATAAAATTTTAAATGAAACTTTTATAAGTGTGACGGTTGGAAGGCTGGCCTCATATTATTAATTAATTTGATTTAATATACAACTTAGTTTTGAATAGATCGTAATTTCACTTAATATAATCACTCGCAAGATAATATATACATAATTTGGTTTGATCGTATTAAAAATTAAATCTTTTGGTTATATTGTTAATAGAATTTTTGAATATATATTCAGTCGTTTGATCTTAATAAAATGTACACTTATATCATCAATCTTCTAAAGTCTCTCATCTTTTCGACCAAAAAAATATTGTCGATTGGCACCGAAGAAAATTGATCACGTGACACCAGCTGTCAAATCTGAGTGATGTATTTACAGCTGAATGATCCTGTACAAGTACATCCACTCGCTAGCCAGGCGAGTTGAACGCATAAAAAGAAAATATTCGAAAGTGTTGATCAAGATGAAATTTTTCACAGAGAAATAACACTGCCCGACGCTTCTCCAGTATGAACGTAATGGAGAGTGACGTTAGACGTCGCCATTTTGACATTCATAAATGTGTAAAAAGATCGAAACAAGAAATTTATCGTCGTTGAAGGACGCGCTTAACTTTTTTGATACACTAGTTAATAGGAACTTTAAAAAAAGATTAATTTGAAATTCGATTTGGAGGATTTTTATTTTTTTTCAAAAATTAAAATCAAGATCCAACATATTCGAGATTGCGTGAGAAGGAGAATTTTTCTCCTTTTTTTTTTCATTCCATTGTCTTCCTACTCTAAGGTAGCTTCGTATTACTGTATGAACTGTCTGCTACCACGGCGTGCTAGCTATTCCATTTCCTGGTCTCAGATTCTTATATGCACACACTGTATCTATTCCAGCACGTGTAGATAGTATAGTATATATAGTATAGTACAGCTACGTATAGTGACGGGCATAGTACCTAGTATAATGTGAACTGCTCTACTTTCGAATTATTTCAGTGAGCATGTATATTTCTCAGGAAAGCTATGTGGACGTACGAATCCGTAGCTACCATCTCCAGTACCGAGTTGAGTTCGATGGTCGCGGCCGCGAACTTTCCATTCAATTAGCCCCTGAGACCCACGGGTCAATCACCGTTGAGCTTTCCACCGCGCCGACCCTCATTTCGTTTCACCAGTTTTCCTCTCGTCATTTTACCTTACAGTTTATCGGCCTTTCTTGACAATCGGAAAGAAAGCTTGATTTCCCTCTTCCAATTATTCTCGTCAACGTCAATTTACACGTCAAACCCTCCTACCAGGACCGAGATCCACTTCTGGGAACTCGTTGAGAACTCAAAGAGCTCTTCCGGTAAGGAAATCTTGGCTTTGCATGTAATCGACGAAGTTCCCATTTTCATGAAAGATTTTTGATTTCCTGCCAAAATCTCCAAAGCCTCCGACTAGAGCTCAAGTTCGGTCGAAAGTAAATAGAGAGTCTGTTCGAACGAACAGACAGATAGTCAGACAGCTCGATGGATGGATGGTCGGATGGATAGATAAATGGATGAACAGATAAATGCATAGACAAACAAACGCGCAAGCGAATGGATTCTCGATTGAAGCATCTACCGATGAAAATCGTGAACCCACAATGGCGTACTATCGAAAGATTTTACAAGCCAACGAGGTCGCCGATCGAAGATTCATATTTATCTAGACGAGCGACGACGCGCAGCGGGAAATTGGTTATGAGCCGGTGAGCGACAGTGCCAATATTTGTCCCTATGATTAACATCGTCTGCGGCTCTTTGCTCTTCGCGAAATTTCGTGGTACCTCCTCGCATTCAATTATCCACCAGTAGCTGGCGACCTGATTCGTGCGCGCGTCTCCAAAAAGTAAATCTAGTAAAGCCACGCCATTGCCCACCGTGCACTGTGCTAGTATCAGCGCATAAAAAGTTATTCCGTCGTCCTTGTAATTTTAGCTAAAGATAAATAGAGCTAAAGAAGAGAAAAAGAGAAGTAACGAAGTGACTTGTCAAAGAAAAATAATAAGACGACAGTATAAAATTAGGTAAAAGATACCTAAGAAACTTTCGTGTAACCGGACGCTGAAGATCGCATTATCGTAAGGTACTTCTCAGCCCGTAAGAGAAATTTCAATTTACACGGGGATTTCCCGTGGCAATCGTATTAAGTGAAGCAAATTTAAATAGGAATATCAGCACAATTCGCGCGGTATAAGAGCTGGGTAAAAGATCTCAGAGGTTAGGCTAGAGTAAAGGTAGGTCTAGAGGGTAAGTGTCCGTTCACATCTTCCGAAGCTTTGCCGCCCCGGCAATCTTCGCCGCTCTGCACAAGAACTACCCCTCTCCTTCTCAACGGCCCGAAAGTCCTCATTTAAATTTATGCTAATATCCACGATAAATTCAGGACGAATTACAGCGCCTCTGGTAGAACCCAACGAAATTGGGGTGTCGAGGTGACGTTACCCACGAGGGGAAGATGAATATTATCGGTAGTGCTCCTGAACGAGGGACGAAAGAGATGAAAAATGAAACGTATCCAGAAAGAAGGAAAGAGATGGGAAGTAAACAGAAAAGTAGAGAAATTGACTAATCAAGGGTTAGCAAAGACTCTTGTATACGTGTATTTATGTGCCGTAAACTAACCTTTTCTTTATGTGAATCCATTCTCTAATCAAGATAATAAATGGATTGCTTGCGACACATCAGCGACAAATCTCAAGCGCTTAATGAGCGCTTCTTCCGCTTCTGATGACAAAATAGCTTTGCATGCAACGTCCCCCGTAGAGACCGGGAATGGTGGCGGAATGGTGGCAGTGAGAATTCCTACCGGCGCAAACGGTCGTTCAGGAAGAATGGTAATGGCGAGCGTGCCTGCCCGGCGAGCGAAGCGTCCTGATAGCTTGATACAAGGAAAGGAAAAGGAAGTAGATAAGAAGAAAAAACAGTGGGGAAAAAACTCCAAAGAATAATCCAACAAAGAAATATTAAAAACCAGCCACCGAAGGTGAAGCATGCAAAAGTCTCATAATTTTAGGTTACGTACCCCCATTCTCTACTGATGAAATCGCTTTTTTATAGGTTAGCTTGATGCATCTTTAATGCACATCCCAAATGCATATTTCCAACGTCGTTAGCCTGGCATAATTCTCGAGGGGTGATCGCGTTACCCCAACTCAATACGACGTATGTAAATACGGAATAAAATCGCCCGAGCATTCCTGGGTTAAGTCAACGTTACCGCCGTTATGCCTGCCCTCATGCGCCGTCAGACTAAACTGCAAGAGCAAGAAGGAACAAGGGCGACACCTGGCGTTGAAGAGCGTTCACTACCCTTTTACATATTTTCCTTCTTTCACGTCCTTCTCTATATCGACCATCTGTGCGTAACAACCGCCACATCGCGTATAAACAAACGACCAGCTTACGTCCCGTCCTGTGTATAAATAAACGAACAACGAGGCGCGGCATTCACAGCAAAACAAACGCCACGACTGAGCCGACGTCTCACGCACGACTCTGCACGTCTGGCGTTCCAGCAGACACGTACAACAACGACTGGATTCACAACGTCTCGGCATACGAAAACACAATTCCCGCCTCTCTGCAATTTCAATTTTGCAAATTGTGCGTACGCTAGGACTAAACTCACTTAACAAAAATCTACGAGAAATCTCAACAGACATAATAACTTTCGACTCGGATTCAGTCGATCGTCGCCATCTTTGTAAGTACAAGCATTACAAATTTGATTATTTTATTCATAAACGACCTGTGTTACCGGGACAAGAAAAAAAATTTGAAAATAAACAAATACGACGTAAAATTAATCTTGATTATTCATCAACGTACATTTTTTATCTGTATGCGAATTGACGTGTATCGAACGAGGAAGTGCGTCTAATATTGAACAAACACACTGCTCAGGAACGTTAGATAAGTTTACGCCGTTTTTATAAATTTTGTTTTATCATTACTGTCATCCTTATCATTTATTATTCGTAAGCATCTGCCTCCAGGCGTCAAATACAACCTAATGTAAGAAAAGGACGTGTCCCAGCTTACGATACCCAATAGCTATGATAAAATAATACTTGTATCTCTATATATAACATAGCCAAGGGGGCGCATGCGCGATGAACAAGTGTTCAGTGTAACCCACGACAACGTAAGAACTTGATTAACGATGGCTATTTATTCAATTTTTTTAAATTCTCCTCCCCAGACCGAACGAATTTTGTAGAATGCGACTGTTGAGAAAAAACAGAGAAACGCGAGTCTTTTCCATCTCATTCTCTCTCCCTTCGTCATGTCCCTATCCCTCGTATCATCCCATGTTTTTCCTCATTCTGCCTTTTCCTTCTCTCTCACACACTTTCGTCACGTCTTTCTTGCTTACAGCTTCAACCTTCCTCCCTGACGGCGCCCTCTTCCACCGTTTGCCAATTTACTTTGCCGCGGGTCATAAGTACCCAAATTCTGATGCGAGCTTCTTTTTCCATCCGCACGCTTACTGGAAGCAGGAAACCACCCTCTCTCGAGCCACCGTCGAAAGGGAGCGTCTGCCGATCGAATACGATTTGTGTATTCTTACTATAGGTATAAGCAAATATTATCGACGTGCATTTGTCCCCGTGCTGAGAAATACTTTCGTTCGCGTTTTCATTCACCAGTTTCCCTCTCTATGCTAGGTTCACGAGTTCAATGTTCTTTTTTGACAGGGATGGAAAACTATGAAATCTTCGATAAGCTATAGATACTTTTTAATAAAATTTACGCCTAAACTTACGTGGAACCATCGTTTTGCACCGAAGCATCAACTTTTCTCCTTTAACCATGCATCTGATTGTGAGTGACGCTGAGCTGTGGCCTCATTGCTTTTGACCAGTGTAAAACCCAGTAAGCTCACAGTGACTATACGTTCCGACGCTCAATTGACAAACACAGAGCAAAAGGGCGAATCGTTGGATTATTACTTCGCCCGTGGGAAAGTAAGCCCCCGGTCCCTATCTGGTATTGTGGACAGTGTTAACCCCCATCCTGCGAACGATCGCTGATACCATTTCCCGTTAGCCAAAGGGCTAATTAAAAATGCAATTAAAAATACGCCAGTTGAGACTAATTAACGGCAGAAGCAATAATTGCAATTATTGAAGTGGAACGCAATGGTAATTTCCATCCAGTTGCTTTCGTTAAACGAACGACCAACCCTCGACGTCTTTCCCCACCAGTCTCTTCCTTCTTGGTCCATTTTCTCTCTCTTCATTTCTTTCTCTCTCTCGCTCGCCTACCGTCTCACTCACTCGGAGGTACATTCGTTCGCACGAGACTGACTGTGCTTTCGGGTAACCGCAACTGCCCTTCCCCGTATCCACTGTGTATATTTTCAACCTTCCCCCATCATCCCTATCGCCCCTCCCCGACTCTCACGATCCTTTCATTTTCTATTTCATCCCCGTAGCGTAAAATTCCCTACAACTCAAATGCAACCGCACGATATCGGGATGTAGGATACAGGTACACCGGATATACGGAGAACAGTATGAATATCGATTTCAGGATGGCTCGGGTATTCCCTGTGGATGAGAAACGGAAGTACGGGAAACTGGGAAAATCCATTGAGTCACTTCTGTATTAACAGACTCGTAGCGACGCGAGAGACGCGTGGAAAATATACATGTAACATGCACGACGTGTCAAAAGGACGTAAATCGTGACGGGAAAACACGGCAGAAAAGCGTCGAGACACGGTGAGGTTAAAGGGTCATAAAAATTGGCAGTAGGACGTGAGAATACCCACGAGTCAGAGTGTCGTGCGGCGTGTGAAAAATTGGGTGGGAAATTCAAT